CTGCTTCTGCACCGCATACACATACTGTATACGCACTGCAGACGGAGTACGTGTGAACTTGGCGCAACGAATCTAGTTCAACAATTGAGGCAACGCCACAAAATGACCAATGCATGGCAAAAAAAAATCCCTGGACACGGGATTTTTATTAAATTTTTTGTTACACCTTTACTTTATTATTTTGCCTTATGTCTGTTCTAGAGACATGTTACTGCTTTTTGATAAAGCTCTAATTGGTTTTCTTTTGGAAATAAGTTTCAAATTCACACTGAATGCATTTATGACTGTAAAGCATGTCTGTGTGTGTCAAAATCGTGATTAAAATCGAAATCGCAAAATTGATCAAAGAAATCGCGATAGGTTTTTTTTTTGTCCATATCGCGCAGCCCTAGTTTTTACTACTGGTTGGTGTGTTGGCCCCCAGAAATGGCAGGACATCATAAAGGAGGTGAAGTTCTTGCAGAAGCTCAGACACCCCAATACCATCGAATACAAAGGGTGCTACCTCAGGGAGCACACAGCATGGGTAAGCGCATACGCATATGTATGTGAGCGATGTGTCTGTCTGACGTGTGCTAATGTTGTCTGTTTCTTGTGTTAGCTGGTGATGGAATACTGTCTAGGATCAGCCTCTGATCTTTTAGAGGGTGAGTAGTTTATTTTTATCTTTCCTCACGTCCTCCGTTCTTTTCAAATAAAGCTGTTATGCTCTCCCTCAGCCGCCCTGTCTGACATTAGAGATGTCCCTTGTTTTTGTGGTGCTGTATTTGTACCCTCAACAGTTCATATAGAAACATGCAGGTGTAAATATTGTAACCATCACAGTTCTGGATTGTATTTTCCCACAGTGAAATATTTAGCCTTTTTATCCTACAGTGCATAAAAAACCTCTGCAGGAGGTGGAAATAGCTGCTATTACCCACGGTGCACTTCAGGGCCTCGCCTACCTTCACTCTCATAACATGATACACAGGTGAGACCCTTCCTGCTTTTCTTTTGATTTCTGTTTTTATCTTTACATCTGTTTGCTTTGTTGAAGTTTCTCAGCCTGTTGTCAATAGATGTTTTTCAGTGCTGAAAGATGCATAGGTCTTTATTTCTTTCTTTTTCTTTTTCCAGAGATGTGAAGGCAGGTAATATTCTGCTAACTGAGCCCGGTCAGGTGAAGCTTGGAGATTTTGGCTCTGCCTCAATCGTTTCTCCTGCCAACTCTTTTGTGGGTACACCGTACTGGTAAGTTGTAAATGCAATCGATTATTTGGTTAAAGGAACTATGTTCTATGATTTGATTTTACTTGAAGTCAACTTATAATTATAGTCAGGGTTTCTTCTACTAAATGAGCACACAAGTAATTTTAGCATTTTTTCTACACTGATATAACAATACACTACAGTTTAAAAGTTTGGGGAAGGTAAAATCAGTAATTAGTTAATACTTTCATTCAGCAGGGGCACAAGTCCTTGGAAGTTAACACTTTTACTTTGTTACAAAAAAAATACTTCAAATAAATGCTGGTCGTGTAAACTTTCTATTCATCAAAGAGTCCTGAAAAAAGGTATCACAGTTTCCACAAAAATATTGAGCAACACAATCAATTTCAACTGTGACAATAGTAATATAATGTTCAGTGTTTCCCACAGGATTTTGTGAGACTGTGGTGGGTGGTCCTCAATCCCTCTAGGGGGGTTCGGGGGCATGCTCCCCGTAAGAAAATTTTGTACATTTTAAAGTTAAATTCATAAATCTGGAGCACTTTGAGAGTTCAAAATTAAGAGCTCCACACAGGTTCAGTGTGCAAACTAAAAGAAAAAAGCTGGTGAATGTACTTATTTTAATCACGATACAAACAAAGATACAAAGATAAAACCTGCATGATATAAAAACAGACAGGCTGAATGAAAAGGCAAATTCACTCTCTGACAGCAGGTGGCGCTTATGGATCAGCAATGATAAGAGGGAAAATGCCATCGAAACTTTTGTGAAGTCTGTTCCCTTCAGAAATACATTCATATAAACCCCCACCCCAATATTTATATTTTTCTTCAGAACAGTGAGCTTGCTGTACCTGTACAGTATTTTCTCTGTGCGCGTCTGTTCATTTTAGGCCATGCTTGCAAGAGATAAACCCTTGAGCTTTTATTTTGGCGGAAACCTCTGTGAAAAGCTTCTGTGAAAACAGGTTTACAAACATTACTAATTTAATGAAATACTGTAAACATTTGCCCATTAAAATGTTGAAAATTATGCAAATGTGCAAATTATGCATAACTGGTGGCCGTTGCGTTTCCCAACTCGCGCTAAACTCACAGCACATTCAATAACGGAGTTCACTGCATTCACTGTGAACGGAGCCGCTCTGAGACGCGGAAAACACCGGATCTTAAGCTGATCAAGTGCGCAATGTGCGCGCTTCACTTTGAAACAAGCAGCTCAAACAGACTTGATAAGTCATATTATTCGCTTTCTGTTTTAATTAGTTTGACGGATACTTGCCAAAGCAATGGCATGAAACACAACGTTAAATAACTTTTATGTTATATGAGAAGTATAAATATATCTTCGGTTTATTATGAAACTGTGGCGGGACAGATTACAGCTTTGCTGTAACAGGAAATTGCATTTCAAAACTTGGTCTCACCCTCAATTACATTTTGAAATAGAAAACAGTTATTTAAACTTATATTTGTACAAATATGTACAGTGTTAGTGTTTTTGCAGTAATCAAATAAATGCAGCCTGGGTAAGGAAAAGAGACTTCTTTCAAAAACATTAACATTTCTCACAAACCCCAAACTTTTGAACAGTAGTTAACATGGTTAGGGCTGGGCGATATGGCCAAAAAAATGATCACGATAATGTTTTTTCATATCAGTCGATATCGATAATTATCATGATAAATGTCACATTTATATTTCTTTCAAGTTTAAAGGCAGATTTTTGCTCCAATGTGAAAGTTGTAAAAACCAGACAGTTATTTGTGGTTTTAAACTATTCTTTATGGTCAGAACACAACAAACACTTCACGTTTTTGAATTCTTTACACTTTTCCAGTCTTTTTTTTTCCTTAACAAAATAAATATCTTAATAGAAAAAAATAATTTCTTAGTTCTGCATGTTCTAATGAGTAATATTGTTTCAGGTTTGTGTTGCCTGATAATATTAATAATAATATAACATTTTGTTGTCTCTTAGAAATACACATTTAATAGTAGCTTAAGTTAGGATGCAGATGTAGATTTATGTTCAACCTCATTTTTATATGGTGAAATTGAATTATTCTGACTGTTTGAGTTTTTTTTTTTTATTAACCACTGGTCTTCCGTAGTAGCATACATTTAGATCGTGATAATCACAGTTAAAACCACAAATATAGCACCTCAATACCATGGTAAAAATGTAATATGGTTTTTAGGTATGTGTATGAAAAACAGTAGCTAGTCTAAATAAATTTAGTATAAATGCATAAACACTATAGCTTAATCACAAAAGAAATAGTGTTATTATATTCCATTACTCCTCCTTCAATACATTTAAAACATGTCTACATTAATAATATAAATTCGACAAAAATACCCACATTTCTGACACAATACCATGGTGCAGTTAGTGCTACTACAGTAAATCTATGGTAAATGATGGCAATTTGTAGATTAAAAAGTCTTCTAACTGTATCGTTGCACACAGTGTTTCTCCTGTTTGTCAGCGCTGTTTCATCTGGCTGTGAACAGAGTTATTTGTGTTCGCTGAATGCAAGCGCTTCACACTGGATCTCACAGCACCGTTTGATCGAGACTCATCAGCGAGTAATGCATCTGCTCTAGTGAAGGCTGCGCCGCCGATTAAACTTTGATCCGAGTGGACAAACGGTCCAAGTGACGCGCTTCAAATGAGTTCTGCTCTTTCGTTCCACCTTTGCCTCATAAACATTATATTAAAAATGTATCGACCTCTTGTTATCGTTTATCGAGGAAATTTATACTGCGCGATAATTATCGTTATCGATTTATCGCCCAGCCCTAAACATGGTAATAAAGGGTGATATTTACCTAATACAAAGACACACAGAGACTTCCATTAACGTTTTGAGTGACAACACACAAATTTTTGAATCAGAATTTTGAACAGAATCACTGAACTAATACTTAAACTAAGTTTGAACTAGTTTGTGTAGATGAACTGAATCTATCACTTCTAACACCACTTTTGCTTCTAATATTTAAATCTAAGATGCTATGAAATGTTTTAACTTTCTCATACTTGCAAGTCATGACCGGGATTGCAAAACAAGTCTAATAGCATAAGCTTTAGAAAACTTTATGGCCAAATAAAAAGCACATAAAAATTATTGCAGCAGTCACAATGCTGCCCATAAAAAATATGTTTTAAATGGCCAATTTTTGACCCAGTCTTTTGTCCATTAATGGTCTGGGTGAACTATGAAGAGCCTGCATTGTGAATATTAAAGTGTGTCTGTGCAGTAGATTGTGCTTTTTATTTATTTCAAAAGAGCAAAGAAAGTCCTGTTTATCATGATCCGTCCCTTCTCGTGTTTAGGATGGCCCCAGAAGTGATTCTAGCCATGGATGAGGGGCAGTATGACGGGAAGGTGGACGTCTGGTCTCTTGGCATCACCTGCATCGAACTAGGTTTGTGATGGTTTGAAAGTGATCCATGACTTCCCACCTCCCACTGACCCCTGAAACTTCAGGTCATGTCGGGTATTAAGGGGGTTTATTTAGGCCAGCGTGTTTCGCTGCTTGCGAGTCTGTGTTGTGTCTATGTCTTTTGCTATGGAACGGGATTTGGGCTTTAGTGTCTAAGCTGCTTTGGGTTGTAAGCTAACTTCCACTCTTTCTCTTGGTCTCACCCTCTCTTTCCTCAACCTCCCAGCGTTTTCATTTATTCATTCATACCTCTTAGTCTTTCTGTTTCATTGCAGCACTAATTCTGGTCTCTCATCCTTTTCTTCTGACTTTTGACTTATTTTTCTGTGTGTTTGCACACTGATTTTATATTTGTTTGTCTTTCTCTCTAGCTGAAAGGAAGCCACCCTTGTTCAATATGAATGCTATGAGTGCCTTATACCACATTGCGCAAAACGAAAGCCCTGTCCTGGCGTCAAACCACTGGTGAGAACTTTGATCTAGATTTTTTCTTTCCTGTTATCTCATCTTATCTTAACCTTTTGATTTTGTCTTTTTCTCCTAAATTTGCAATCAGTTTATTTGTTTTTCTGTTTTGTAATTTGTGGGTGAACTTCTATTTTATTAGCTGCTTAATACATAATTCAAAGTATTATGCTAGAATTTGCTAATTTGTATTAGCAGTAAAGTGTATAGTGCAGTAAAGGTTAGAGTTGAGTTTTGTCTTTATTCTAGCTGCTTTCTCTCTCTCTCTCTGCTGAGAGACTGTTTTTAAAAGCTCGTGAATGCCGTGAGAAGGAGAAACCAAGATAGGGGTCATATACTGCCGCACATAAGGTTTTGAGGACTGTCCGTTTCAGTGGCTTGCTTTCTCTTTCATAATCCTGTCTAAAAGCAGCCGTCAGGCGGGGAACATTTCTATACACACTGTAAATCACTGCAGTAAAACAATATGTGACCCTGGACCACAAAACCAGTCTTAAGTCGCTGGGGGATATTTGTAGCAATAGCCAAAAATACATTGTATAGGCCAAAATTATTGATTTTTGTTTTATGCCAAAAATCATTAGGACATTAAGTAAAGATCATGTTCCATGAAGATTTTTTGTAAATTTCCTACTGTAAATATATCAAAACTTAATTTTTGATGTGTTTACGATCTCTAGCCTGAAAAATAAAGCAGCATAATCAAGTACATTTGTACAGCTCAATTAAATAGATGTTGCTGGGAGGAAGCCTTCCACAACAAATTTTTTAAATGGCTGGGTGGCCTATGTCCATTTGTCTATTGAAAATAAGATTTATATTGAATTTTTAATAAAAAAGTTTTTATTTTTTATTGCTCATGTAGTTCATGTTTTCTATATGTTGATCTTTTATATATTGTGTGTGTGTTTAACATTTCCTTTGTCGCTCCCTCTCTTTAATGCAGGTCAGACTACTTCCGTAACTTTGTGGACTCTTGTCTTCAAAAGATCCCTCAGGACAGGCCTACCTCAGATGTGCTGCTCAATGTGAGACTTGAACACACACACACACACTCTGTATTCATTCTTTCATTCATTCATTCACATATGTTCTCTCCTCCTCGGGTCTTTTGTTCTAGCTAGGCCTGTCATCATTACCTAATCGCCTTGACTTGATTAGTTTTAAATAATCGTAATTATTATGCACTTTATATTCCAGTACAATATAGAAATGTCATGGGATGAAATGTCTTTTTCAAATACTGAAAAAGATTGTATGGCAGAACCTGTGTGAAATTTGCGATTCTCTAGCTCAAATGTGTTTTGAATATTGAAATGGGTTTTCAGTCACGACACCCTTTCAAATTTTTCAAAAATTTGTGGCACCTTACACAAACACTACTGCTGTTCAGGCCCCGCAGTCTACCCACTCTGGACTGCTACATGAAGATGAAGCTGATGGTTCAGAAGCATCTTAAGAACACTATAAGTACTTCTTTGATGCCACAGTAAAAACTATAGCATAACTAATAAAGTTGAAACATTATAATTGACAAGTGAACAGTCAGTAATAAAATAAGACAGGGTGTCCGCGGGTCCTTAAAAAGTCTTAAATAACGTTTTCCTAATATAAGGCCTTAAAAAGTCTTAAAATGTCTTAAATTCGGATTCGATGGGTCTTAATTATTTTTGGTCTCATTACCGCTCAAATATCTTCAGTCTGACGGACCTAATGACTTTACAATCATTGGACAGACCGAAGATTTTTTCTTCCCTAAGGTGGTATTAAAAAGGTCTTAAAAAGTCTTAAATTTAACTTGTTCAAGTCTGCAGAAACCCTGATAAGAACAAACACACACATTTCAAGTGTTACTTGGTGTGTCCTTTTATCTTACACATTTAACTCGATTATTCAGGTAGGGTAGGGATAGTCAAATCTAGCCTAAACCATGAAGTACTCACCAGCCGGCAGGTTCAAGTTCTTCGGGAATGACGAAGAAGACTCCCTTGTGGTTGTTCTTGTTTGAGGCTCAGTTGGTAGTTATAAGTAAAGTCTCACGGGAGGCAATCGTAACAATAAAATCTCTTATTTTGTTAGTTACAATACAAAGTGTTTAATTAAAAAATAAAACAAAATCAGCTAAGCCACGAATTTCTATAATCAAACTCTAAACAACAGTATTGGAGATGCTGTTAAGCACCCCTCAATAGGGTATCAGGTGTCCTTCACGCTTAATGCAGACAGCATCTCCAATATTGCTATTCAGGTACAGAAATGTAATTAAATGAAAAATAACACTGCATAGTGTTCACTGTATGAATTAAATATGGATTAAGCTTTGTTAAAATTGTTTTGTTGTTTGATTAACATTGACACAGACAGTAGCAGGTATTTATAGGCTGCTGTCCATTTAAGACCGTATACACGGATCACTGTGATGTAGGGCGTCGATTTTATTAGACTATTCAATTTTTAAAAATCCTCGACTTCATTTTGCTCGCGTCGACTAACCGGCAAAATACCGGAAGTGGCGCATTTCATGGACGAGAATCCATAAAACACATTATTAGACTGTTTCCCAAGGCTGCATGATATATTAAACCCATTTAAAAATCATAATTAAGCATAATTGTGAATTCACAAACGCTACGATT